AAATTCGAAGTTGATGAAGATGAAGATGAACATGAACACATGAAAATGAACTCATAAATCGTAGCCTTCGATCTGTAAACCCTTGTCAGAACAAGCGACGATAAACTTTTTCCGTAACGTCGTCGTCTTCTCCAGAACGTCGTCTTCTCCAGAACGTCCTATTGCAGAGCATCAGAGTCCGTATCTTGTTTGAGTTCATCCAATTTCTGGTTTTTGAGTTGAGTACATCTGAACCTATGAAACAACCCCAAATGATGGTGACCGGAAAATCATACTTGGCCGGAAACTACGTCGGAAACCGACGATTACTGGTCATAATGGTATAATGTAAACATTTCTACAAGTTTAAGGGTTAATAAAACACGAAAAATATTTTAGTGACCAAAAACTAAAGTACGTTACCCTCTCAAATCATTATCCTATAAAGAAAAGGGTTAAGTCATTTTTTTTTTCCAAACTAGTAGGTTGTTGCTTAGACAAAAAAAAAAAAAAATCCCACACTAATAAGCTGGATTACTGGCGTAGTTTATAACTTTGAAACCATAATGTCATGTATTTCAAGCAAGGTGTTTTTTTGTTTGTTTGTAATACGTTTATATCTGTACACCGTTTGTTTTGTAGAAAACCATAGATCTTTAACGCCATTTGCTTAGAGCATACATGGTCCAACCACTTCTAATTTTTATGTTATTTCTAAACTAAAATAACACACCTAGGTTGAGGAGAAAACACGACTAAATTGAGGAAACAAGCTTAATTCTTCACATTTTAAAACTAAAAAACGTAAAAGTTCAAGAGCCGTTTTAGTTATACTTCATGTTTAATTCATAAAATTATATATTAATTTTTATTTTGGGGTTTGCCAAAGTTTTGGATATTTTTATAAAAGACAAATTTTTAACTATTTTTCATGTTAAATCCAGAAAAAGATTACAATTGTTATTTTACCATGTGATAAACATAGAAAGATAACTTCTAAAAATGTTTTTTTTTATAGCATTTTGTAAGAAGCACTTATATAAATTTATAGTAATTTATAAAACCTGTTTACAAAGAAACATTACTATTGCATGAATTATATTTAAGTGTTGTATAAAATTTTATAAGCAACGTCTATGTATGAGTTATAAGGCGTGTTTGGCAAAAGTAGCTGTTAGCTGGAAGCGGGTAGCGAACACTTTAATTGACGCGACAAACAAACCGATCAAAAGTTTGGTTATCACGTTGTATTATCAATAATACAATTTAAGGAAAATATCATTTTAATAACAAAATTTAAACGTTGTTCACCAATTGCATTGTTGAAAATGCATGTTCTACGATGGATATTGCAACATGTAAAAACATTGCATTTTTTTTTAGAAGATACACCATTGGATATAATATATGATTTCATCATTTCCAAGTTTTCAATTCCGCTAAAATTATTAAAATTTGAATTTTCATGTACATCCACAATATAATTATGAAAATTTTCTCTAAGTGCTCCAAGGTTATGTCTCATGACCAATTTAGGATAAACTTTAATTGCTCTGAGTAATTTGTTCACTTTAAATGCTTCAAATCATTTTACTTCCACACAAAATAACCCTACTAAAAGCAATGCCGTGTTAGTTCACTACAATGATTGTTGGGCTCTTGAAGTTGAATATTTATGCTCATATAAAATACATCAATTTTGTAGTGATGCAATAAGTTAATATGTAAGTTAGATAAAATATATTGCAACTACCGAACCCATACTTTTAGTTTTGGGTTTTATTTTATCATAAAAATAGTTTTTTGATTTTTTACCAAACAAAATATGATGCAGAGCTTATCAAAGAATAAGAAGAATCCTTCTTGAATAAATGAAACAATGATTAAAAGAGATAAGAAAAACTAACCTTCAAACAACCATAACTTTTGATTTGTAGTCTTGAGTAGGGGTGAACATTTGGACCGAATCAGATCGAACTGGACTGGACTGACTCTTGGACCAGACCGGTTTTGGAGAATATTGTGGATCGTGGACCTGATTGGATGAGACTTACCGGGTCCATGTCCATGTCCGAGTTTTCCGGTTCTTGGACCCGTTTGGACCAGTACAACTTTATATGCATACGTTACAACTTGTTAAAACGCGTTTTTAGCTTTGATACGACTCGTTAAAACGAATATGTTGTTGGGTTTGATACGTTACAACTTGTTAAAATGAAGATTTTTTTTGGATTTGATACGATACAACTCGTAAAAATGAATATATTTTCGTTATTGTGCCATTTGGACCAATCAAACTTTGATTATTTATACTTTATACCATTTGTTTAAAGGATTGTAACACATTAGATATAACATCAAAACAAAAAATTATAATCTAAAATCATCTAGAAACTCTAAATTACACGTTGGAAAAAAGGCGCATGTTAATCAAACTTAAAACGAATGAGATATATATGCTTGTTTAACGAATTTCACAGAATACAAAAGTTTAAATTTCTTCCTGAAAAGATGAAATGTTTTAGCTTTAATATCTCATCTTTGAAGGATTGTAACTCACTGAATATAACACCTAAATTAACAAATTATAGTCTAAAATCATCTACAAACTCTAAATTACATATTGGAAAAAAAACATATCAATCCGATTTAGAACGAATGAGATATGTTTGTTTAAAGAATTTCACAGAATACAAAAGTTTAAATTTCTTGCTAAAAAGTTGAAATATTTCAGCATTGATATCTCATCTTTAAAACATACTCATTGAATATAATACAAAAAACAACAAAATTATAGTCTAAAATCATTTATAATCTCTAAATTATATGTTAGAAAAAAATGCATGTTAATTCAACTTAAAACGAATGAGATATGATTGTTTAAAAAATTTCACAAAATACAAAAGTTTAAATTTATTGTTGAAAAACTTAAATATTTCAGCTTTGATATTTCATCTTTAAAGGATTGTAACTCATCAAATATAACACCAACACAACAAAATTATAGTGTAAAATTATCTACAAACTCTAAATTACATGTTGGAAAAAACATATATTAATCCGCCTTAAAACGAATGAGTTATGTTTGTTTAATATATATATATATATATATATATATATATATATATATATATATATATATATATATATATATATATATATATTAACCGGTCAAAAACCAGTTTTTACCTGGAACCAGATGAAATAGACCGGTTTTACTGAAATCCTAGCACCGAGAACCAGCTCGGGATCCAAAAAAACGGTTCAGTCCAGTCCAGTTCAGTCTCCAAATGCTCACCTCTAGTTTTGAGGCTCACCTTATATTAATGAAAAGTTTTCAACATGTGAGAACTCTTGAAAAGTTTTTTTGAAAATAATATATATATATATTCCTTATAAACCTATAAATGAAGATGCTTAATGATTAAGAAAATTATTCTATTAGTTCTTAAAAAATGAAGTTTTTGACTTCAGTCCTATTCAAGCATATATTCAAAGGAATAAAAGTTCCAATAAGTTTCATCAGGTGATGTAAATTGTTAAATTTTAGAAGATATAGTGCACAAACGGGAATAAATAAAACTATAGTGGCCAAATCAGAAATTGTTGAAAGTTAAGTGACAAACGATTAGTTTGCCTCTAGTGGTTCCTAATTGCGCTTACATCACAAACAAACCCACACTAAAAAAATGAAGAAAACACCATTATTTAATCTATCTTACATCAGCCATCCTTACTTCTGTACTTGTATTCTCCCTGAATCATCACAGTTCCATCTTAAAGATTGAATCTTTCCTTCTCTTCCCAAAGGATCTTGATCAGCTGTGCGATTCCCCAGGGGGGTTATGGTGGGGCTTCTGAGATTGCAAGGAGAATCTTGAACAAACAACAAAGCATCGGACTTGGAAAAACGTTTCAAGAACATTGGAGTTAAAGGAACACAAAGATGATTACAAGGTAGAATATAAAGATGATTTCTATGTGTGTCTCTTCATTTGAAGCAAGAAAACAGTTTCCCTTTTTTTTTTTTTTTTTTCTGACCAGATTCATCTGTTTGGTCTTTTGTTCTATGTTGCCCATAAGATTTTATCGATTTTATTTTAATATTATTCTCGATTCTGTTTATTTAAGGAAAGGAGTTCCTGTCTAGATAAAAATGTATCGCCTTTATTTGATTAACCGACAAACCTTGAGAAAATCTGTAAGATTTTTTTTAAAGATTTTAATCATATCATTTTCTCTGTAATATGGAGATTTGTAGCAATTTTGCCGAAGATTTTGATATTTTTCAAGTGTTTTTAACTTTTTATCATGATATATGGGGTATTCTTAACTGGGATTTGATCATTGATTGGTCTTTTTGCATCTGATGATGATTTATCTTACATGTTTGACCAATTACACAAGTTAAAATAGCAAATATATACAGAATATTTTGATTTACTACTGCTTTTAGCATGTTATTTTGGAATGTTATTGGAATTATATGTGGTATTTTCAACTTGGTGTTTCTTCAATTATTGATGATTACTTTATACATGTTTGACCGGTTAGAAAGTCAAAATAGCAATTTTTTCACAATATTTTGATATTCCTAGTGTTTTCTTATCATTTACATGGCGTAATCTCATATGAGATTTCTTCATTGATTGATCTTTTCGCCTCAGCTGATTATCATTCGCCATTTTTGACCAGTCAGACAAGTCAAATTAGCGAATTGTTAGATTATAATTTGATTTTTCATCGTGTCATTCACCTCAAATTTGGAGAAGTAAAGAACTTTATCGATTTTTCTTAACTGGGGTTTCTTCATTGATTGATCTTTTTTCATCTTGTGATGATTTTTTTACATGTTTGACTAATTAGTCAAAATACCAATTATTATTGATTTTCTTGATTTCTCAATAGTATGTGCAAACTTACAAAATGTTACTCCTCACTTTCGGCAGATAATAGCTTGAAGGGTTATGAACAATATATCTTGACTCATAGAAGCTGTGTGAATTTGATCAAAACTGTCAATGGATAATAATGTCTTCACATTCGACAATCCATCCAATTCCCTTATGGATTTTGATTACATGGATGAACTCTTGTTAGACGGATGTTGGTTACAAGCAACCGATGGATCTGAAATCACGAACAACAATCCATCTCCTTCCAATTCCATCTTCGATCCTTCATTTCAATGGCCTAATTTGGAATCCAACATTGGGAAGCCGGTGTCAAAAGACCTTTTCGCCCCTGAAAGAAATTCGTCGAAATCCCATGTCAAAAATCTCACTGGTTTCCCTAACGATGAATCTGAAAATCATTCTGAATCGAGCAAACGATGGTGGATTGCACCTACTGCAAGTTCTGGCCCTTCGTTATCTGTAATGGAAAGATTGATTTACGCCATCGACAACATAAAACATTACACAGTAGACAAGAACGTTCTTATTCAAGTATGGCTACCAGAAATTAAAGATGGAAAGAAAGTTTTAAGTACAAGTCAACAACTTTTCTCACTTGAATTGAATTGCCCTCGGCTTTCTAATTATAGAAGCATATCAGAAGGTTATACTTTTACAGCTGAGGGTAATGCTAAGGGTAGCGTTGGATTGCCTGGAAGGGTATTTATGGGAAAAGTTCCTGAATGGACTCCTGATGTTCGGTTATTCAAGATAGAAGAGTATCCAAGAGTTTCTCATGCACAACAACAAGATGTTCGTGGGAGTGTTGCAGTTCCAGTTTTTGATCAAGATGTTAAAGATTGCATTGGTGTTGTTGAGGTTATCATGACTACACAAAAGAGTATTTACGCTCTAGAAATTCAAAGTGTTTGTAAGGCTCTCGAGGTATGTTTTTCTGGTTTTTCAAGATTATTTTATAAAAAAGGCAAATTACTAAAAAACCATTCTTTTCTAGTACAATTTTGCAGTTGAACTGCTTATACTTTTTCTTTCTTTCGCTCAAACCATAAAAGTTTGTGACATTTTTCCAATTTAACTATTTTGACCTCTCATATACCATGTCAAAATTGTTACTTTGGAAAATTAGCGATGAAAGCTAATATAAAAAAGTAACCATGAAGTGAGACCTATATAACATGTCAAAATGGTTAATTTCGAGAAGAGAAATTAAATATCCTCCTATTTTTTTTCCTAGTTATCATCCTACCTATTTGAAACAATGACAAGTGTCTTAAAATGTTATTAATTTATTAAAAAATTAACATTTGTCATAATTTTACATGGGTAGGAGGATAAGTAGGAAAAAAAAGGTAGGAGTTTGGAAAAATGTCTGAAATTTTCATGGTTTGACTAAAAAATAGTACGTTGTCCCTAAACTGTCACAATTATAAGGGTTTTTCTGTAATCTGCCCTACAATACCTTTGAAATATTGATGGTGGTTAAAATTGGTTGTGATCTTCGAATCTGAAAGAACTTTGTTCATGATTCTAATAGGCCTTTGACCTCAGGAGTTCTGAAGATTCAAACACACAGAGAATAAACGTAAGTAGAAAAAGCTTAGTTTTAACAAAAAAACTGAAACTTTTTTCAAGAAATTATTGTTAAGTTTCTTGATTCTGTACAGGTAAGCAACGGCTTCTATCATCCTTCCTTACCGGAGATTCTTGAAACTCTGAAATCTGCATGCATGATGCATAATCTACCGCTAGCTCAGACATGGACTCCATGCATCCAACAAGGCGGCAAAAGTGGCTGCCGCCACTCAAATGAAAACCTTGTCTACTGTCTTTCCACTGTAGATACTGCTTCATACGTATCCGATCCTTACTTCAAAGATTTTCAAGAAGCTTGTTCTCAGCATCATTTATTTAAAGGTCAAGGTGTAGTAGGTCGAGCTTTCACAACCAATGAGCCATGTTATTCACCTGATGTGACATCATACACGAAAACCGAATATCCACTTGCTCATCATGCTAGTTACTTTGACTTGCATGCTGCTGTGGCTATACGTCTTAGAACAACTTATGCTGATACGGTTGACTTTGTGTTGGAGTTTTTCTTGCCTGTTGAATGCAAGAATCAAGAAGATCAAAAGGGTGTGGTTAATTCTTTGTTGAATATCATAGGAAAGGTTTGTCGAAGCCTAAGGTTTGTTACAGAAAAGGAGTTGCAGGAAGAGGCTGTTAATGAAGGGTTGCTTGTTGTTTCTGATATAGAACATGTTCCGAAAATTCAAGAAACAAATGAACCTGGTCCTGACCCTGGTCCAGGTTCAGGCACGGAGAAAAGAAGGGCTGGTGCCAAGATGGAGAAAAGTATCACTTTAGAAATGCTAAGGCAACACTTTGCTGGCAGCCTGAAAGATGCTGCCAAAAATATTGGTGGTAAGTTCAAAATAGTACATTTTTGTACTATTCTTTTTATCATTTTTGTGAGAGATGATTTGAATATTTTGTTTATTTGGATCTTGATTCGAGTTGTTGTTGTAATTTCAGTTTGTCCAACGACTCTGAAACGGATATGTAGGCAACACGGGATACAACGGTGGCCATCACGGAAGATCAAGAAAGTTGGACACTCTTTAAGAAAGATCCAACTTGTGATGGATTCGGTTCATGGTGGATCCGGATCGTTTCAAATCGAGTCCTTCTATTCAAACTTTCCTAAACTCGCGTCTCAGGACCCGTCAACAACAACTCAGCTCCCGTTTGCGGCTACAAAAACTGAAATTTTCGACTCAAAGGGGGGCAACACCGTCATTTCATGCAGTCAGAGTTCGAGTTCTAGTCATTCTTTGTCCGGTGGGACCCACCAGGCCCCACCGGTCAAAGAAGACACCGGCGATCAGGAACAAGATCAAGATCGATATCAAGATCAAGATCAAGATCAAGAGCGGAAGCTCTTTCTAGGATCACTCAATGATCCTCCAAAACGTCAAAACCGGCCTCCGAAACCTTACATTAAACGGGAAGGGGGTCTTTGGAGGGTAAAAGTGACTTTTGGCGAAGAAAAGATACGTTTTAGGCTGCAAAAGGATTGGGGTTATAATGATTTGCTGCAAGAAATTGCAAAGAGGTTTAGCTTGAATGATATAGGTGGGTATCAACTGAGATACCTTGATGATGATTCTGAATGGGTATTACTAACTTGTGATGCTGATGTAGAGGAGTGTATTGATGTTTATCGATCTTTTAAGAGTGGAACCATTAGGCTTGCTCTTCGTGAACCTCAAATTCGTGTTGGTAGTAGTTTAGGTAGTAACACACCCTTGTAAAAGGGAGACCCTGGTCTAGCTTTTCAAGGGTTTGGTCAGTAAGTTTGGTTCACAACCCGTGTATGGGTGCGACCCAAGTGCATCAAGGCTCACGGGTTTTCTGGAGATGGAGCTTGGAAGTCTTGGTATGCAGTTTCCAGGTGGTTGTTTCTGTAGTGTGGGTACAGGATTTCTAACTAGGACTTTGATGCGTTGTTGGGTTGTATAGTATGCATTTTGGGGTTGTACTGTATGCCTTGATGGGTTGTATTGTACGCAATATTGGTTTTACCGTATGGCGTCGACATTGTCGGTCGAAAACAGTTGTGAGTTTGGGAGAAATGCAGGTTGTTGCTGGAGCTGATGCTGTTATTTTTGGATACAGCGAAGTCATAATTAGGAGCTTTGTATGATATATGAAGTATTTGGTAGATTTGCTATATAGAAGGGAAGTAAATGTATAACATGTATTGTATGAGGGATAAGTTATTATTGCATTTTGTAGTACTGATATAAGATACTATTGTGTAAGTTATTATTGCATGCTGTTTTTGTTGAAATATTGTGATGTAAATTTTGTTTTCGTCTGAAACCTTATCGCCTTATAACCTTTAGTACAAATCGTATACGGCTATGATTTTAGGAACCTCTTGAACGGTTGTCTCACCTTTCTCTCCTTTTCAGACAGGTGCGTGTTTCTGTTGGCGGAATAGTAGGGTGATGGTGAAAACTGGATTTCTAATGGATTGTGTAAGGTCACTTGCAAAACTGATATTTCCACCCTATGCCCAGGTTACAGGAAATCCAGTTTAAGATAATCTAAAATGATACTTGTGTATCTAAGCACAAAAACACAAACCAAATCACCAAAGAGTTCTAAGTTTCGTTTTGAAGAAGAGCTGAGAAGAGTTATCTACGGCTCAAAAGAGAAGTTGTATATATGAGAAGTTGTATATATACCTAACAAATTAGAGTTTTTTCTTCTAAATTAGTTAGGAGAATCTCGAGTTTAATGACTTAATCAATGGTTTTCAAAACTGATAGGATTTGTCAGTCTTATCATAATCACCCACTAAAATTCAGTTTTTCTATAATGAAACTAATTCAAATTTCTGAAGACCTTTTGGGGCGCTCCCCCTTGGAACATACTAAGGGAGCTACCCTTAGGACCCTGCAAGGGGGAACAACCCCCTTGATCCCCATCATCCTGTCATACCGGCTTAATCTTATACATGCATGCACTCCGTATTTACCGAACATATAATATAGAGTACAAATAATAAGCCTTTAGCTCACATGTTAGTTCCAATTACCCAAAATGTCTGGTAACACTAAAATCACTAACAATCCTCCCCCATTTTAGTGTAAACCATGGACTAACATAAAATTATCTAAACAAACCAAACCAATACATAAATGAAAATGTCGAAACAATTGGTTTCTCATCTTAGTATCAAACAATTCAAATACTCGAGAATCACGGTGTTCTAAGAATAAAACACTTCAACCCAATTGAATATCTGAAAGTAAAATACATACTAGTTTATTGAACTTTCTAGCGAAATACAATTTGACACTATTATAAAGTCGTGTGTCCAAATCCTCTCATGACTGTATCAAGGCCAAGTCTCCAACCTCTTGAAATGTGGCTATACTTCACAATCGCATAGGTAATTCCTTTACTTCATGTATTTGCACATACATTTTATCAAAGGAATTATTAAACGGAATTCAACCTAGTCAACTTGTAGAACCAAGCACATACATGAGATGTATACTTTGTGTGTTCCAATCTATAAGTGTGAGCTTTCCACATTGAATTCAACTCCTAATGACATATTAGAAGGGAATTGGGTATATCAACATTACAGAATCAAAAATGGACTTTAATCCCATCCCAATAACAGACTTGTAAACTAAGTCTCTTGTCAGACCTTTAGTCAAATGATCTGCCAAATTTTGTTGCAATTTCACAAACTCAACCAAAATCACATTATTCATGTGTAACATCCAAAATTTCAAACAAATTTAAACTTTTAAAAACATGTCAAGTTCATCAAAATATTACAAATTTAGTTTTCAAAACATTAATTATCAGAGTCTTTTCCCAAAAACATAACATAGTAGGAGGAGTTGTACGATCACGCCTTGGCCTTGCCGCGATCCCCTGAGGTACCTGAAACCATAAACTGAAACTGTAAGCCCGAAAGCTTAGTGAGTCACCCCAAAATACCGATACACATACAGTCCACATAACAATATTAGCATTAGCATATCATATCAATCAAAACAAAACAACATACACTGAGTCCCCAGTTTTACAAGCTGGACTACCCCCAGGCCCTCAATACGAGTCTGGAATGCCTACCGGGCCCTCAGCTCGTATCTGGAATGCCATCGAGCCCTCAGTACGAGTCTAGAATGCCTATCGGGCCCTCAGCTCGTATCTAGAATGCTCCCGAGTCCTCAGTATGAGTCTGGAATGCCTATCGGGCCCTCAGATCATATCTGGAATACTCTCAGGTTTGTTGGCTACCGCACGGAGCAGTATAACCTCAACCCACCCCACACAACATGTCGACATGTAACAGATAAATGCACATACAGGTAATCAATCAGTATCACAGGCAGTCCTATAGATCTACCCGACTAGCATATCAACTGGCATACATTACTAACTCAACTCAACATATCAATAACTACTAGGATATCAAATCCATTGGGCTGACCTTGGTGCCTTAGACCCTTTAGTATAGTGAGGATAACTCACCTCGAAACGTCGACTCACAGAAATTAGTTCCAACCTTCGGGTTACTATCACGGATCCCACCACCTATATTTATCACGTATTGCATACATAAGATTCTGATCCTTCTAGAACTGTCCTCAAAAGTCAATAGATCAACTTAGGTCAATGGTCAAAGTCAACAGTCAAGGTCAACAGTCCATGTTTACCTGACTCGCTGAGTTCCCTCGGCTTCCGGTGCACTCACCGAGTCATCGAGTGACTCGTCGAGTTTCCCTCGTTTTTCGACTGAACTCTAAAGCCACTCGTCGGGTTTCCTAAGCGAAACTCGACGGGTGCATACATGGGCATATCCTTGGGAAAGTTCATCTGACTCGACGAGTTGTTCATCCAACTCATCGAGTTCACGAATTTCTTCATCGGACTCGCCGAGTTGTTCATCCAACTCGTCGAGTTTCACGGCTTCCTTCATCAGACTCGCTGAGTCATCCTTGTGACTCGCCGAGTCCGTTTGGTCTTTTTCCATACAGACTTATTCTGATCCATGCAGTGGCTCCAATTCATAGATCTAGGCTTATATGGCATACTTATTACGTAAAGTCACAAACTTTATGTACATGCATTGCATTTAAGGCTCTAAATGCCAAGTCTAAGCTCTTAATGGGGTTTCAAGCCCAAGAGGGACCTCATACATGATCAATTATGAGACTTTATGTTTCTAGAGCTTAGAGAGGGTTCAGATCTGAAGTTACAACTTTAGATCCAACTCATTGTTCAACATATCAACCTTTAAGGTCCATAGAAAATCCTAGAACTTCAATGAAAGGAAAACTCATAGAAGAGATGGTAATTTAGGATACCTCTGGAAGACGACAACTGAAAGTAGTGCTAATTTCCCCACCTAACTTGCTCCAACCTCCTCTTCCTTCAAGCCTTCTCCTTCAAAGTCTTCAAATCAAGCTTCACACACTCAACAAGCACCTACACTCGAATCAGGGACTCACTATGACTGTAAAGAGACCCAGGGGAGGCTAAGGCTCCTTTAAATAGGGATACAAACCCCGAGAATTAGGGTTTCACTTGCCAGATCCTACTCGCCGAGTCAGTCACTTAAGTCGCGATCTAATCCCGCTGTTACTCGACGAGTAGGGTAACCAACTCGTTGAGTAGGACCAAAACCAAGAAACTATAATTTGAACAATACCTGAGAATCGGGGCGTTACATCATGGTTACTTCTCTAATCATAATGTGTCTAACACTTAAGTGTCTAGACTTGCCATTATAAACCTGATTATATGCCTTAGCCAAAGCGGTTGCATTATCACAAATGATATATATAGGTGCTATCGGTTTTGACCACAAAAGAATCTCATAGACTAAATTCATTAGCCATTCTGCTTCTTTACCAACAATGGCTACAACAACAAACTCAAATTCCATTTTCGAGTTTGTAATGCAAGATTTCTTCTTGGAAGCCCAGGATATTACACTTCCCCTATGAAAGAACACCCAACCAGTTGTTGAGGAATGGTCCTTCGTGTTGGTTATCCAACTTGCATCCGAATGACCTTCTAAGACTGAAGGGCTTCCCAAGTAACTCAACCGATAATCCTTGTTTCCCTTGAGAACTTAAACACTCTATTAACCGCTTGCCAATGTTGAGCACCACAATTACTAGTATACCTGATCAACTTTCCCACAACATAAGCAATATTAGGTCTGGTACTTTTCATTGCATACATCAAGCTACCAATAACCTTAGAGTATTCTAATCGTGAAATAGGAATGCTAGAGTTAGGCATTATATTCACACTTGAATCCATAGGAGTGCTCACAGGAGAACAATCACTTAAATTGAACCGTTTGAGAATTTTCTCAACATATTGACTTTGAGTCATTACTAAGACCTTGTTCACCCTCTTAATTTATTATACCAAGAATTAAATAAGCCTCTCCCAAATATTTCATGGAGAATTTTGATGACAACAATTGCCTTGTTTAATCTAATTGATCTTGGTCGGTACCAAAAATCAACATGTCATCTACATATAAGCAAATGATCATGCCTGCACCAATGACATCATTAAATCTACTATAAAAACATTTATCACATTGGTTCAACTTGAAACCAGAGGAAAAAAAACCTCATCAAGCTTTTGATGCTATTGTTTGGGTGCTTGTTTCAACCCATACAACGATTTTACTAGTTTACATACCATACGCTCTTTATTTTGCATAACGAAACCTTTTGGTTTTTTCATGTAAAATTATTTATCAAGTTCACCATTAAAAAGGTTGTTTTAACATCCATTTGATCGATAATTAGATTGTGTATACTTGCCAAGACAATCAACAATCTAATAGTAGAAATAAGCGTAATCGGAGCATACATAACAAAATAGTCAACACTGGGTTTTTTCCTAAAACCTTGAATGACCAACTGGGATTTAAGCTTATCAATAGTACCATTTACATTCATTTTCTTTTTGAATATCCATTTGCAACCAAGTGGTTTAGAACCTGGAGGCGAATTAGACAACACCAAAGTGTTGTTCTCAATAATTGACGACATTTCATCATCAATCGCTTCCTTCTAAAAGAAAACATATTGAGAATCCATGGCCTCTTAATATGTCTTAGGATCATCCTCAATACTATAGCAATAATTGTATTCAAGACTAATTTCATCCCTTGAACCTTCCACCAAATACAGTTGGAAGTTGGAACTGAAATCTTTCGCAATTCGGCCTCTTTTGCTTCTACGAAGCTCTTGTGTTTTTGGTGCAGCAACACCATCTTGAATTTATGGATTTGTCGCTTCA